ATCACGACCCTATCTCAGCGAGGCGTCAGTTCCAAGTATTATGCTTGATGATGGTGATGACGAAGGCGCCCCAAGTCTTCAAACCGAAGGGCATGTCACCGCTGCAAAAAACGGCCCTCAATATGGTCCTTTAATGACAAACTGTATGGGTAAGGCTACCATTAGTACCAGAGATGCCGCAAAGTCCTGACGGCAGTTCTATTCCTTGCTACCTGTGAGCGAATTTCAGCATTCATACGCGCTTCGCCGCCAACTCAGCTGTCAAGACAAACGAATCTTTATCCCCAATTCCATTTCCTCAAGGATAAATTGACTAGATGGGTTATGGTCTTACAAATTCAACTTGATTTTGGTGGTGCCAATCACATACTAAATGATGTTGATGTTTGCGATAGATTAATTGTTCCATTTCGCGATTATCAACTGAGTGGGCAATATCGTCCGCGTGTTCCAAACCAACGAATTCCTAGAGCCCAATTTCGGCTTACAATGTCGTCATACCACCTTGCGACGAGACTAAACCTTAACTTATCGCGGTGGTTTACACAACTCTGTAATTCATTGTGCTATGCTAGATGGCGTTTCCACACATCGCCAGTCATTTGCAACACTCAGGTCAGTAGTTCGAATCCGAGCGAACTCGGTTTCGACATCTTGCTTATAGAAAACTAGTAGAGGTCGAGTACAATTCCATCTCAGCACAGCAATAGGAAACAGTAGTCCCACTTTCCTGCCAACAATAACAGGTATATTCTCAACGAGGCGAATTGGAGTATAAGTATCATTAGTCGTCCCTGACAGTGTGAGAACAAAGAATTTGTTCAGTGATGTGCTGCTGCTCACCTCAAGCCGGCAACTGGTAACCAAGGCATGCGCCCGGGAAGACTCCTGTCGCCAATTGGGATCGCAGATTTGTGATCCCCCATTACTGAAAATCGTCAATAAACCGCTTCACATCTCCCAAACCTTCGAGCGACTGGCCTACAGCGGATGCATTTGGGAGTCCGCAGTGCCACTGTCGAGCCGGACCTGTTCTTCTCTGCTTTGTGGGCCAGATGGTAGCCCTCAAGCAAGATTATTTCCTTGAGTTGTTATCGCAGAACACCATTTTCCCGCGATACATTGTCCCCTGAATTCCTGTTTCTTCCTGTATTTACTGATATATATGGTTGACGGCATCCGGTTTCGGATTTGCCTGTCACTGGGACCAGCCACAGGACGCCTGCGCCTACAGTGGGACCATGAGTGGCTTGCGCTGCACCACCCACAGCTCCATCCACACACCCCATATCCAGTGTAAACCCGAAGGAATAAGACCGGGGGGCATGTGGATGGGAGCCACGTTTCATCAACGGAGCCGGCCCACACTCCTTCACAGGCAAACACATGCACACTGTATTTGGGGAATCAAGTGCACACAAGGCGGTGGTTGGACCGTAGTCCAAGCGCAGCCACATCTGGGATGTCAAACAACAGCCAATCATTCGAAATGCTGATATCGAATAAACTAAACGCATATGACGACATAAATACTCGCTAAATGCGCATATAGAAGAAATTGATTAAAGGTGAATACGCGATAAGTACAAAATGTCCGAAACTTATTTAAAAAATACCACGCGATAAAATTACGTAAGTTTACCACAATTTGCACGAGCGACGTGTGCAAGTTGGGAGAAGATTATCAAGTACGCAGAACAAACCAAATGAAATGTAATGCATTTTATCCACATTAAAAAACCTAGTTTAAGTGTAAGTTGGTTTAGCCCAACTGCGGTGAAGAAGCATCATGAATGCAACATCAGCCTCAGCATGGGGCACTACTGATATATATATATATATATATATATATATATATATATATATATATAGTCTTTGGTCTTTAGTTGATTCACTGTGATCCATTTAGACTTCCTTAATTGAATTCCCTACGGCTTTCGCATATGCGCAGCGGTCACTGCGAACTGGAATGCCGCAGGAATGCCGTAGCAATCTAAAAACTGTAATGAATGTTTTTGATGATATCTAGAAAATTATGCCATTTCTATTTCGTCTCACTTTCCTAACAGCATGGGGAGGGATAAGGCATTTAGCAACTAGACTGTTCATATGCTCTTACGTTTCGTGCCCTAGGTGGGTGCGCTAAGTGTTAACTTTGTAGGTTCACCTTTTGCCAGGTGTAATCGTAGCCATTTATCCTTATATGCACTATTATTTCAGGAGTCCATAGAGAGTGAGTACTCAGTCGTCACACATTCGAATAGGCGAAAGTAACTCCTACCTCTTTGTTTTGCTTCCCGGATTTATGACACTGGCGCCATTTAAGTTGCCCGTTAACATTCCGAATTCGAAGTCCACTGAGATTGAAGCTGCACGTCGCCATCTTTCAGACAATGCGTGCTTCAAAAATACCTATCCGATGAGTCATTAACCTTTGTGATGACCGTTGTCCTCTGCGACTCGATGGCTTAGGAGTAGAGGTTTCCTTTGACATCCCATTCGTCTATCGGTCCCCAACCAGGGATCCGAGAGACTCCAACTGAAGCCAACTTCGAAGTAAGGGCCTTCATTCCTATTGACCACCCCTCCTCTTCCTCCATCCGCATCCGCGGCGCGCAAACAACGCACGTCGCCGTGGTCGGTGGACTGACATGCGCAGCACGTGACATCCCAAAGGTCCCCTGTCCGTGTCAAAGTCCTACGGACTGGTGTGAATAATTGCGAAACCGGTGGGGAAGGGGGCGAGTGCAGTGTTGCGAGCGATTAACACCTGTCATTCGTAAAGCTCTGTGTGCATTTAGTCACCCACAACGGTCACATCAACTTCCTTGGGATGATGCAACCCTTATTATGAGGACACCGCTTATCATTACCTAGAGGAACTCCGTGCTACCCACTCAAACGATTTTTCCGCTGTCCAACAATAACTCGAAAGGTGAGTCATCGTGTATTTGACCGCCACGCGTCACAAGCTTTACAACACGGCGCGCGCATCATTGTTATGATTTTTTCGACTCCAGACTGCTTCTCAGTAAAAGCCTGACTCTTACTCAAGCTTACCCTGTTGTTTATTCAGTACACGGGCGTAAATGCTTTGTTAATGCACTTTTCTTTGTAATCTTCTATTCTTTAGAGACAGAAAGACAACCAGCTTCTCTCTTTCTTTGCTTTTCGTATCCCTGGTATTCTTTGTGACTTTTGATATCTTTCCGGCCTTTGTGGCTCTTTCCGGGTAGGTGGCTAGTGCTGAGTGAGTCACATTCAGGTCGACCGTTACTTGTTATCTACTATGCTTACAGTGTCTATTGATTAAAACTTGGTGCAAATGAGTGACCTTTCTTTCAAATGTACTTATCTATATTGTCCATTTCCAAATGTAGCCACAATCTTCGCCTTGCCATCTACTAGTATGTACTACCTGGCAATGTGTGTCCACACGTACATGCCTTGACTGACCGGCAGCTCCTACACTCACCTACGAAACTCACATGTGTCAGTTAACAGCCAACTTAGTGAGAGCAGTTTTGCATACACGATTCGATGAAATCATCCGATCTTTGGTAGAGCTACAGATGATATTGTACCAGCTTTCGTTACGGGATCTGGCGTATCAGCTAACGGGTTTTTCGCCTGCGAAGTCCCAGGCACAAGCACTGCACTCCACCATCAGTCTCGTCTTTGCTTCGGCCCCTCAAGTAGAGGCATGCCATTTAGAACTCGGGTCCGGGACGTGGAGCTTACAAACGGAAGCCTGACGACTATGCGCAATTGAGTTCTGCGAGCAATGCAACGGCTATGATCTAGCGATAGGTTTTTTCGGAATATCCCGTGTTTCTAATGGGTCGCGACATTTCCAGGCCACAAAACACGACCAGTATGTTATTGCCATGACTAGTTGTATAGGTTTGCCACTGGCTCAATGCAGAACGCGTATATGAGCAAATTGTGACGGTTTTTGCAGGTGACCTTTTTATGGTCAGTCTAGAACAGGGGTCGCCAAACTACGGCCGGCTGGCCGGATCCGGTTTACAATGTTAGGTCATCCGGCTCGCCGTCTGTACCTGAGTAAGGTTAATAAATCTAGGGTACATGAGACGGTGTGATACAATTTAAATTTGACACTGCATGTCATATTCTCAGTGACCGTACACTATTTGAACACTAGTCTGAGACATCTTAGGGTTGTTACTTGTGAGACCGTACGAATGTACTAGTAGTGACCACACACTGTTGGAACATTGATGTAAGTGAGCACTCTTGAAACCCATTCATACGTGCGCCCTACCGTTTTTCTGTTTACCTCACACCCTTGTGCCACAATATTGGGGTTGGTCCACTCAATTGAAGAAACTGTCATTTACAACGCCCCTAATTTGTGCATGAGTTATTTTCAATCCATAATTAAAACGAATTGCAGGTTGCTAGTACGGAATTGCCCTGGAAGCACAAATTGTTCAGAATCATACCTTTTGGTATTGCTAAATATATGTCCACGAATGGCCCCCTACTCCTCAGTTTTTTCGAAATTCAGTTGAATTTTTATCGTATTTAATTCTTTACACTTTTCTCGTTCAAATCCTTTTATTTCAGCCTTTACTAAAGCTATGGTGATACCCAGTGTCGCGTTTTCGTTGTCATTTTCTCCCAGTTTTCGTTCTAGCTCCAAAGCATTACGCATAATGATAACGCGGCCCACGCTAACCATTTTATTAGTTATCCGGACTGCATTAGTTATTTTCCCAGTAACCCGACCCGCGCTAGTCGAGTTTTCTACTTATCCAGCCCGCCGTGAAAAGAGTTTGGTGACCCCTGATCTAGAGCTTTCGCTGTCACTTCTGACCCACTTAGCTGGACTCTTCCAACCCAGTCCGTTTTCGCCTGAACATAGGTGTATTCCATTTACCACATATCAGTATGTGTCGTACTGTTTGTGCTTATCTCTTGCCATCGGATATCGTTGATATACACCATCGCAACTGCTGTCTACTTCTATCCCCTAGATGTACCTGACCGGTGGGGATTCATTGAAACCAGACCCACAAAAAGCCTTAAGTTATTTACGGGAGTCGGCTGAGGAGGACAATCCCATTGGTCAAACCGGTCTAGCAATGGCTTATCTTCATGGAAAAGCCGGTCTGACAGCGAATCCGTTGAAAGCACTAGATCTACTACTGCGTGCTGCTGATCAAGGATGGGCCGATGCTCAAGTAACGTTGGGTCGTTTGTTTATTGGTGAGTAAAGTGCCCCTGTTATCTTTACTTCAAGTTCTTCCTCTTACGCACTTATGCACAACCCTTGTTCACCTTTTTTACCGCTTTTCACAGATCCACATATTCCTCGAATTTTTCCAAGCATACACTTGCTCATTACTTGAACTCATCCAACGATTTATATGCATTGCACTTGGGATAACACACCACGTACTACATCTTTTGGGCGCTCTGAACTTGTTTTAATGCCATGGCGCCAACCGATTTCATGTGGGAATTAATCGCTGTGTTTTTAAATCACTTGGCAAGTGGGTTCGGCTGTTTGCCCCGTGTTCTGCTTGGTCAGCTCAGCTCATCCGTTGCGGTAATTGAGGATGCATCTATATCCACTACCTTATTAGCATATTCAGTTCACAAAATTGTGAATAGTGTGTCAGTGTTGGGAGGAGCAACACCGAACCAGCCTTTTCAAATGGAATTCGTACCCAAAATCTTCATTCTGCGCTGCTTGGCCCCAAATAAGGCAACACAACACACCTCAACAAATGCAACGGCTGAAAAACGAGCCGTGCTGCCTTACGTCAACGGAATCTCTGAAATGGCAGCGAGACTCCTATATTGTTCTTGGGAGTAAAGATTGTCCACCAACCAACAGAAACAATAAACTTTTCCCAGTGGGAGATAAACTTATTCATTGGGAGACATCTGGTGTAATCTACAAGATCTGATGCCGAGACTATGATAAATACTACCTAGGACAAACGGGAAGGAAGCTTGGCACACGGCTACATGAACATAGCCTAGCAATCCGCCGCCATGATCAGAATTCTTTTTGGTATCCGTGCATATGCATGCCGAAGGACACCAGTTCGACCTAGAGTACGCCGAACTACTCGGAAGAGCCGGCAAGCACGTGAGTTTATTGAGGCCTGGTATTCAAAGCAGAACTCGATCAATAAGCACATAGATCTCGAAGTCGCTTACGAGGCTCTGCGAAACAGGACCTTAAAGCCGCACTGACGATGTTGCCTAGTCTGGCAGCGAAACGTCTGCAAAATAACCGTTCAGCTCGGAGAGCAATGCAATACCAATACCGAACCACGTCCATTCGTGAATGCATTAGTCGATATTGTCATTAACATGATGACTTATTGTATTGCCCTCCAGCTACAGATTAAGCACTAGGCTTCCATCCTTATCAACTACAAACGAATTGGTCATCTTTACACCGACTTTATATTTCCCCGATTTTGCTGACGTTCCGGTTACCACCACATCTCCCTTACCTCTTCTGGATATTTCCTATGAGATTGTCACATGAATTTTCGAAGGGTCTCCCAAAAATCGTACACAACGTTGTTCTCCCATTTTCAATATTTTTTATGGACAGAGAAAGGAAGGCGAACGGCATCAGCAGTACGCCGGCACACCGTATCGACGCTTCACTGCCACGCGACTACCTCCAGTCGCACAATGGCTGGCTATATCGCGTGATCGCCTTCATCTGCGATATTCCGCTGATACCGTTGGGGATTGTCTTCTCCATTGCTTTCTGGATTTCCTATTGTGGTCATTAATCACCGTCATTAGATGCGCTACTGCATGTGTTCATGTTATTGTCTGTTGATCAAACGTCATGCCAGTGTTTTACCGGCCCGTAACCCTAGAGATCACAAACCTACCTTTTAGTCCAAGGGCGCGGCTTCGAGTCTGCGTGGTGACCGGGCGACCCTCGCAGTATCCTTAGCTCATGCGCGACTGGCGGTGGTTGAACGACAGCAAAACCTCGGTAATGCGTACAGGCGTATTGCTGATGATTTTTCTCGACATGTCTTTTAATTGTCGATGATCTTCCACTTGCAGTTTAGTTACTCTCTTTTTCTTCTTTTGTATCTTCTCTGTGGTAGGTACAATGGGCATGAAGCCGGATTATAAGCTGGCGCTGAAATACTTCACAATGGCTTCACAACAAGGTAATGTGCTCGCCTTTTTCTACCTTGGTGAAATGCACGCCACTGGCGTCGGTGTTCTTCGGTCTTGCACGACGGCCGCAGAGGTGAGCAATTTTAGAGCACTCTCTCACTAAGTCGTTAATACCACGTTTTTTTTACATTTCTTTCAATTCATCAACTGTTCGTTTACATTCGCTGTACATTGTAAGCGTGTGTCAACTCTGATTCGTCTTCCGGACCATTGTTTAAGCACCCGGCTCGTTGTCTTAGCAATTAATTTTCTGTCGCTGCACCTGCGTTCCACATTTTGTACACCAGGCTCCTTTTTCCATGTTTGAACCGATTTTAGCTTTTCTGTCATTGCCCCTATGCCTATGCAAATCACTTAACTTCGACGCTGCTTAATGACATTTTATCTGACGCGGGTATTCTTTGCGTTAACTCTGACCTCTACCTTCTCTCCACTGTTTGTGGGTTACAGCTGTTCAAAAATGTGGCCGAACGCGGTTCCTGGTCGAAGTGGTTAATGCTTGCGCACTCAGCGTACCGAGCGCAGCGATACGACGAGGCGTTTGTCACTTATCAACTACTGGCAGAGTTGGGCTACGAGGTGGCCCAAAGCAATGTGGCCTATATGTTAGAAGAAGGTACGCCCCATCCTGCGTGACCTTGTTTGATTTTCCATCAAAATTATTGCGAGCTACTTTTTTTCGGAATTACTGCCTTTTTGCCCAGATATCGTTTCACATAAAATCGTTAATGTCTCTAGCTTATTTTGCAGTTATTCAACTCCGTTTGTGCCTTTTGCCGATCTGGCCGTCGACATTTTAGTAAACAGTATACTCTTTCCATTAGCATTTTTTGTTTACCGTTGGGACACAAACTATGAAAACTGCTCTGCCCTACTCAATGGATGACAATATAACCTAGGACAATGTTTCAGCCGGTGATCTTGAAGAAACCCATCTTACTCGTCACTCGTTTGTCACACCTGTCTTATCATCTTTTGTCTTTTAACTATGAGCTTTCGTACACGCGTTTATCTCTGCACTGTGTAATATCCAGTACCTTAACTTCCTCAATGTCGTCCTTCTCAAGAATGTACGAGGACAGAGCAATAAGTCTCTGGATACGCGGTACACAGATTAGATACAGATGACCTAGGAATAACAATGTAAACCGTAATCCATTCTGAATATAGTTCAGTGATTTCAACTCACAGAACCCTTTATCAACAGCGCAGCACAGCCTACAAGTCATGTGAGTTGCAATATTCTGCTTTTAAGTATGGAACTCAATCGAGGTCACTGGTTTTCTGTGACTACAAATGTGGTTTAAAGCAGCGCCAGAGTGTTGAGCGATTGCGTGCTGCGTTTGGTGATGATATGCCTTCAAGAAACACCGTGTTTGTGTAGTTTGCAGAAATCAAGCGTGGTGGGCGGTCGCTGGAGGTAATGCAGCACAGTGTGGTCGATCTGTGGTGGCCACCACCGCAGACAACATTGAGGCTGTAGAAGGATGCGCAGGTGACTGTGGTACAGCTGGGGAAAGCCATCGGGATCTCATCGGGATCAGTCCGCATCATCCTACCTGAAAACCTCGGTCTTAGAAAGGTTTGCGCACGCTGGGTACCCCATAAGCTCAATGAAGGCCAGAAAGCAGCTAGGGTGAATTGGTTCCGCACTATGTTTGCCGGATTTGTTGGTAGACGTTCCAATACTGTTTGGGAGATCCTCAGTGGTGATGAGACCTGCGTGTACAGTTCTGACCCAGAGACCAAGCAACAATCGGCCGAGTGGACGGTCGTTGATGAGGCACCGTCTCAGAAATTCCGGCGTATGCACAGTGTGGCCAAGCAGATGGTGGCTGTGTTCGTAGCCAAGACAGGTCATGTGGCTACATTACCGCTCGTACAGCAACGCACTGTCACCGGAGACTGGTATGCCACCCACTGTCTGCCACATGTGCTGGAAGCAGTAGCCAGGCGTCGTCCAAGGACTGGAGCATGTGGAACCTTACTGCACCATGACAACGCACTTACACACTGGTTCCATGTGGTAGATTTTCTGACTGGCGAAAGCATCCAGGAGATTGGTCACCCACCCTATAATCCAGACCTGGCTACGTGTGACTTTTCGTGTTCCCAGATGTCAAACGCATGATGCGTGGAATCCACTATGAGTTCCCAGAAGCTGCAGTAGAGGTTTTTATTATACTGTTTGAAGAATTGCCCGTTTCGGTATGGTCTAGCTGCTTCTCCAAATGGTTTGAGCACATGGAACTACATGATCGCTGGTGGAGAGTACTACGAGAAGATGTAATACTTATTTTGTTTTAACAAATAATACCTTTTGTGCATCCGGTAACTTCTTGCTCCACCCTCGTAGTTTCGCATGCTAGCGCTGCATCACTTCGACAGCGTTCTGTTTCACTTTTCATGACCTTTCGTTCGCGTCGGCCGACACCTTCCCGTGCCTTTAATCCACCATCCCTTGATACTGGATTGTGTCATGTTGATACCTTAGGAAACTCACTGAAAAACTGAGTCAGCTTGTTGCTTATGGTCCTCCCGAGTGGGGTCTGTGGAGCCCAGCATAGAGTGTGACGTGGCCACGGGGTCCCTGACGCTTTAGCATTTCTGGCCCTTGATTTTTCTTCCCGACGAATTTGATTCTCATTCCTCCCTTGAATTATTTTTGTTATAATTATGTCGGCTGTGTCAAGACAGTTGAACTTGTTGCACGACAGTACGCGATAAAAAAGACAGTCTAAACGGACCAGAACTGTGATCGACAGCGGTTTGCTTCTGGTCAAGTCGCCAAAGCACTCCGTGAATGGATTTAGAAGGTTTATGTCTCTTTTCAAAGCATCACCTTCTTCTCGAGACGATACGATACTTGCTTGCCACAAGATATGTGTACAGCGATGCACGCGGTCGTGGTTACTGCGTATACTAGAAGGCCTGCGACATACCGAAGGCATCCAGAAATCAATCGTCTTCAAACATCGTTGAGTACAGAAATTAAAGCGAATCACGCTGTAGTCTGCCTAATCAGTGTGAATGATGCTATGTACAGTCCCCTCGCCACTCCATTGCTTCGGAAATGGGTGCTGCTGCCCTATCTGGCACTGTTCGCAGCCTCTTCCAGCTCATTATCTCCACTGGCCACAGGAAACGGTGTCAGTGAGCTTATTTGCGAAGCGGATGGTTTGCTGATTTTCACCCAAACGGACACGCATGCATCGCTGTGCCGAACGTTTTCGTTCCCAGTTCAATTGAAACGCAAACTCCATTTTTATGCTTCGCTAGCCCGACTGCCTGTTCTGGGTCGTCACACTTGATCCAGCCAGTGAAGCGCTAGGTTGCCTTGCTATTCGACACTTAAAGCAATGCTGGTTCGGACAGACTTTCTCCGGAGCTGTTCAACTATGGCAGCGCAGTAATCATTCGCGAGGTAACCTCATTCTTACTCAAAATTTGGTATTACAGTGTCAGTTATTGACACAATTTTTAAGAAGTGTGCTCGCTTTTCATGCACTAATCACCGGGGGATCAGTCTCATTTTGGTTGCCTCTAAGCTATTGGCATCCATTCTACACCGTAGGATATCCCCAAAACTTGAATCGCAATACCGGGAAGAACAAGCTGGCTTCCGTCCTGGCCGCAGGTGTGTGGACCAAATATTTACGCTCTGCCAAATCCTCGAACACCACCACCTCTACCATAGCTACCCTCCTAGACATCCATGTTGCATTCGGCTCGGTTGATCTGCCTGCGCTATGGTGTTGCTTGCCTTCGATACTGGGTACCTGAGGAGGGCTGATCGTGTGGTTTCAACGGCGTATCTTCGATTATGAGATCAGACGTCGTGTCTTAGGGAATTCGAGCGTTCCCTTCAACAAGCTTCTTTTACTGCACCAGCTAAGATGGCTCAGTCACGTCCTGCGTATGTCATCTGAGCGTTTGACCCATCGTTCCCTGTTCGCTCATGCAGGACTCGGCGGAAGAGAACGTGGTGGTTAGCCATACACTTCGCGACAGCATATGAAATGGTATACTTCGCGTCTGGTCGCCGTTGGGTCTACACTTCTGTCTGGTTGTGGATTAAAAAACGGGGGGTGCAGATAATTCGAATCACTTCAGTGAGCGCATTGACACCGGCCAACTGGCGAAGCCAGCTGTTCTGAATGCCTATCAAAGTACGCTGTCACGCGAGTTGGATAAACGCTCACTGGATGCAACTGAAGCTCACTGGTCTCATATTCACCAGACGTTATTAGCAGCAGGAAAATCCTCATGCGGTATATCTAATCGCCAACATGGACATTGGGTCTCTTCGCAGTCTTTGGAACTTATCGATGCTCGCCGGCATATTCCGGCTTCAAGCGAACACAATGAAACTCGCGAAGTGCTCCGGGCAAAACTTCGTGCTAGCCTGAAGAGAGACCGCGAATCCTGCTGGTCTCATCGTGCATCAGAGATGGAAATGGCCGCTGCCCTTGGTAACCATCGTAAGTTATTCCGTCTGATACGGGAAACGAGCAGCAGGAGACCTGGTGTTAGTGAAACTATACGTGACGAGAGTGGACAGCCTATCCACAACTTATCAAAACGCTTAGAGCGTTGGGCTGAGCACTTTGAAAGGCAATTTAATCGGTCGGAATGGTTAAATTTCTCGCCGGCCACTGATCGCCCCACTCCCAGGGGCTGTCCCTTTGGATCCACCCTCTCGCTCAGAAGTCGAACGTGAGATCGAACTGTTGAAGTTAAATAAAGCCGCGGGACCAGATGATCTACATCCAGCCCTCTTCAAATTCGGGGACCTGCTCTTGTGGATGATTTATACAAGTGAAACTGTGGGAGCAGGAAACTGTCCCAACCGACTGGAGCCGCTCCGTCATAGTCCCAATTTTCAAAGGAGGCTCACGATCGGAATGCGGCAGCCATAGAGGAATCAGTCTGATCTCTATTGCCTCCAAATTGCTTGCCTCTGTCATCCTTCACAGAATGACTGGCACTCGTGAAAGCCAGATTCGTGAAGAGCAAGCTGGATTTCGTCGAGGTCGTGGCTGCATTGACCACATCTTCACCTTGCGTCAGTTGTTGGAGCACCGTCACACATACTGGCGGCCCACCGTAGTCGTGTTCCTCGATATCAAAGGTGCATTCGACTCGGTGGATAGACTTGCACTTTGGGACTGTCTACTCAGGAAAGGTGTACCTGAGAAATATGTGAATATTATCCGAGCATTATATGCGCGTAGCTCGGGCAGAGTGAGCGCTAACGGCAAGTTGTCGTTGCCCTTTAATATCTCCAGCGGCGTGAGACAAGGATGCCCGCTGTCACCTTTCCTCTTCAACTTCGCTGTTGACGAAGTCATGGAAATCGCGTTTACAGGACACGACTTAGAAGGTGTGGATCTGCTCCCAGGAGAACGACTTCTTGACTTAGAGTATGCTGATGATATTGCCCTAATCTGTGACAGCTCACAGACGTGCCAAGCGGCACTGGACAGATTAGCACTAGCTGTCCGTCACTTCGGGCTTTGCTTCGCACCCTCGAAGTGCAAAGCGTTCCTCCAATATTGGTCTGGACCGCCTCCTACGCTGACCGTTGGTGGGGATCAGCTAGAAGTCGTTCAAAAA